AAAATAAATATAGCAGGATTGAATAGTTCATCATCAACGAATAACAGATATTTATCTGATCTAAAATAAAATCATAAATACACATCTTTTATTCTCAATACAATAAAATTGATCGATGTAATTGTATATTAAATTTTAACTTCAGTAAACACTTGAGTGTATACGGTGATCAGCATTAGAGCACGTTTTGATATTGCATCTCATGATAAACGGTCAAATATTTCAAAATGATTGTACGTACATAGTGAGTAGGACGTTTTTTTTTCGAATATTTACTGACATAAAGAAAAACTCCCAAATCAATTTAGGTCTTTTTAAATTGTATTTATAAATCTTATTAATTTTTCATATGGTCTCAATAAAAAAGATGAATAGATCAATATATTTACGTTTCTAATCCATAACGTTGTAGAAGTTGACTTTTTTCTTCATAAGCTTTATCTGTTTTTGAAAGTACTTTAAAAATAAAAAAAAATAATATTTTACTTTAAAAAAAAAGAAATCTTTTGCTTTTTTCACCTAGCTTTAATAAATATGTATCATATGGATTTGGTTGATTAGGTACAAAACCATTATGTATTAAATATTCTGCATTTGTTCGTTTTCCATAAAATATAAATATTTGTTCATTTTTTTCAACATTTTTCATTGTTTTACATTCAATTTGTTGAAGTTTCATATCATAATGAATACATTCTTGACCATATTCATGATTAAGAAAATCCATAACTGGTATTAATGATAATTGAGATTCTCCATGATCATTCAATATATTATTTTGTCGTGTTGAAACAACACTAACAGCCCACCTAAATTCAATTAAGACTGAAATGAATTTTAATACTAAAAAAGAAAAGAAAAATAAACCTATAAGCATCATATGAAAAATTTTCAGCAAGTTTTGATAATGATGATTGACCCTGAACAAACAAACATTTCATATTCTGTAAAACGAAAAAGTTTTAAATCGTTTTTTTTTTTACTTTAAGAAGATTATGTAAATAACAATATTGTCTAGCTATTCGTTGTATATGTGTTAAAACATCACCTAAATAGTTATTGGTTGTCTAATTAAATAAAAACAAAAGAAAATATTATTCTTACAAAGTGCAGCCGATGGTTTCAATCTATTAAGTTGATCATAATCAAAATACAATGGTGTATTAAAATGATTGGGTAAAATATCAATATATGGTTGCCATTTTGATTGAGATCGTTCATGAAGAAGAAATAATGCAAGAGCTACATTTGGCATTGAACGAAGTAATTGATCTTTTATTATTAATGAACCAAACGATGATGAAGTCATTATTGTATCCGTTGTGATAATAATTGAACGTGGTACAGTAAGAAAACATTCGTCAGACTAGAAAATTTTGAAGAACAGTTTTCGAGTAAAAAGAAAAGCAATATTTATTTAATAAATTACTGCAAGGTTTTTTGTTGCTTTTAAACCAAATCCATAATTTTCAAAAGAGCAAATTTCAAAATTAGATGTATCAACACCATTTGAATGTAACCAATCGATAAAACTATGTAAATGTTCTTCACGATCGCATATTGGATTTGATTTTAAAAGATCTATATTATCAAAAAATTAGTTCATTTAAAGATTATTTTTAATTAATGTTACTTTTTTCTATATCAATTACTTTCTGTAATTTTTCATAAATTGGTTCAAATTGAGACCATTTTATTATTTCATTTACTGATAAACATTCTACAATGAATATTATTATTATCGAAAAAAAATCAAAAGATAATATTTAACACCTTGATAAAGTTGAGCGATTAAATCTTCACGGTTTTGCAATAGTTGTCTCTTTTTCTTTTTATCCATCTAAAATCAAAACATTTTTTATTCTTTATTTTTCCATACGACCATAAGAAAAGAATGATCGACACAGAATGAGCAACGATTTGATCATCAGGTGAAAAAAAATGAAAGTGATGCAACTGCTACATCCATTAATAAAACTTGGTTACAAAACAGGGAAAATTTCAGCACATTTTGAAGAAAACATCATTTTTTGTGAAAAAATAAAAAGAATTGGACAATAAATCATGTATCGTCTAAAATTAGAATTTCTTTAAAATTTCAGTAAAAGAGTGGTCTTTTCTCGAGATATCAAATCCACAAAAAAGGCTAGATTTCTCGTTCTTTTGTCCGTTTTTTTTAAACAAATATCGTGCCAAAGATAAACCAAATCCAGTAAAGTGGTCATAACTTCGAAAAGGTAGCGCATGAGAAAGAATTCTTCCAGGTTTCTTTTAGTGTCAACAGGTCCTACGTAATGACTAGAGTTTCATTTCAAAGGCAAGGTATCACCTCGGATGGTTCCATCGTTAGCATTTTCCCAAAGACACCTTCAGCGCAGTTGGCTGTCAGTTTTTTCCACCAATACGATATTGACAAAACTTTTGGAGAATGTTTTTCTATATCTAGAATATACGCTGAGTTAGTATAAAGATGCGCAAATGCTTCTGAAATGAGATCCAAATTTTCTAAAACGTTGGATTTTGACGGTTTTTTGCGTTTTCTTTGTCACAGAAGTATTTTGAGAGACGAATAAAGGCATAATTAGAATCAGCGTGAAAAGCTGCATTGAGTAGTGTAGCATTTATCAATTTTTAAAATAAAAATTTTTCTCACAGCAACTTTGGGTAAGAGACCTCTCGGGGATTTTTCATTGGAAATGGCCTTTTTTCCATCAGTATTATTTTTCAGTACAAGAACCTACTATTTCTATTAAAAAAATTGCTTGTTTTACAGAAGATAATCCATGTTCACGTGCTCGATAGAAATTTCCCACTGTTCTATATTCGATGGCTGATGACTTGACGGCATTTACTATGTAAAAGTTCATTAAATTCTTACATATTCTTTTCATTTCACTCAAAATCACATACAAAATGTAGAGTAATACATATGATATCTTTCGTTTTTTTACTAAAATTTCAAAAGCATTAAACAATTATGAAAAAATAGAATGATCTTTTCTCTTGTTTGCAATTTCAAAACAAAAAAAGAGTCTTCAGACAATATTGTTGAGTACTTTAAACGGAAAATTAAATTTACCGATCGCGAATAAAAAGAAGTTAAACACCTGAGCATCACAAAGACTTAACCTATTAAGAATAGGTCTACAAAACACAAAAAAAACACATTTTTTCTAGGCGTAATAACTAGGTGATATTAATACATCAGCTAATATCACAAGTTGATCTTCAGTAAATTTTTCACGATGTTCATGCCATGAATCATGATGAGTTCGACGAAATTCAGATAAAGCTTTCTTTATTGATTTCTATAATTAAATAATATTCAAAAATACTTTCTTTTTCTCACAATGACATACTTGAATTAGATCAGGATCATGTGAATGTTCACAAAGTAACATCAATGCTTCAGGTACATGATTTGGAATATCATATGGACTTGATAAAACAATTGCACAAAGACCAAGAACACCTATTAATAAAAAGAAAATATTACTTATGACTATTTATTAATTTACTCTAACCTCCATGTCTTTTAACAATATTTTCTGCTGATGTTATTTTTTTTCCATCAACTTTTGTAAAATAACTTGTTTTACTCATTACACGGAAATATTTCTGAAATAGAAAAAGAAAAAAAGTTTATTAGCACCGCCTTTTAGGAGGGCTAAAATGTGGAACTCACATGTGTTCTTTTCCCTCCTTATACTAATAGAAAATATGTCAAATGGAAAATGTTGTGCAGACTACAATTGTCTTTCAAGGATAGTCAATCGCCAGTGAATCTATCTGTCTTATTTATTTCCGCATGTCGAACATAGAATCTTTTTACTGACGCACTATTTTTAGTGTGTCTTGCTGCTTTTCATTTTTCTTAATTTAACGTTATAATTATTTTTCTAATCATTAATTTAAACTCTTTGCGAATGTGTCATGGATATATATGTGATGGTACTGAATCAACTGACAAATGACTTATGAGTGTCTCTTGAGATATTGCTTCGATCTGCTTGAGAACGCCGATCATGAGACAGCATTGCATTCCATCTTCGTCTATTTGTTTTTTCTTGTTAAAAATTAGTCTTTGTTTTTGTAGTAGTAAAAAGCCATTTTGTTCAGGAGTAGTTGTGTATTCTCGAATCGATGACGGAAATTACTTGAATTTATAAAACAAAAGGGTCTACATCATGGCGAAAGAGTCATGCAGAAAAGTCGCGTTTGTGACTGTGGATATCGTTGGATTCCTATGTTGAAATTTCATAAAGAGTACCTCCTCATGATATTCAAAAAGATTTGTCTTGTATTGATCATTCTTGACATCTTGAGTAGGCAAAAATAAAAAACTGCACTATTTAGAAGATATTTCAACTATTCAAATTTCGAGAGAGATCTTGAAATGTTCTAGAACAGTCTAAGTATTGTTGTTAAGTCCTTCCTCCTTCAAAATCGATTTCAGATACAGTGCATGGAATTTTTCATGAAACTTTCTGCTGATATTCAACTAATGAAAGTACAATATTAAGAAACGATTCATGACTTCAGACCTTATCGTTCAGAAGATTTTTCGAAACCATAGGGCTTTCACGTATACAAATGTTTTTTTCAATAGACTTCAAGCTACAGCATTCGAACTACTCGCATTTCAAAGAGAAACTCTCACTGCTTTGAATGAAGAAAAGGAATTTATAATTATTATTTTATTTTATTTTATTTTTGGGACCCTCAAAATCTTAAAACATCAAAACTCTTAGGCTGTGTTTTCAACAAAATTCATTTTTACCTCATTCGAAAGAGAATGCATCGATCTATCGAATAAAGAAACACAAATTTTATTAGAATAAACATGGATGAAAAGAAGTTTGTTCGGAACCCGATAATTTATACAGAAACCTATTCCGAGAGAAACGCACGAACATTTTTTTTTCAAAGAAGCCTTTTAACATTGAAGGTTGTTTTTATGATTTTCAAATTAAGCCCCTTAGAGTTCATGGCAATATGCTTATGTCAGAAAGTCGATTTTTTGGAGGAGATAAGGCAGTAGAAATGTTAATGTCGCTCAGTACCTTGTTTTTTGTTGCTAAGGAATTTCTGAGAAAGGTGTCTGATGCCTTTGTCCTCGATTGCTGTATCGTTGACTTCCCCTACCTTGTTTCTATGACGAGATATGGCTCGCAAAATCTCAACGTAAAACTTACACTCACTATATTTTACTTCCAAAAAGAACACATAAACGTAAGTTCCACAAAATCAATAAAAAAGAAAAAAAAATGAAAACTTACAAGATCATCATTATTAATTTGAATATATCCACATTGATAAAATCCTGATAAAGTAACAGATGCAACTGTTCGAACTTCAAATTGCTCATCAAATAAACATTTGAAAACAAGTTGTCGTAATCGTTGTGCATAAGGTCGAGCATTGAATAAATTACAAAAGATCATATTTTGTACAAATTCAATAGCAGCTCGACGTGCATGCCATTTTGGACTTGAACAAATCTTTGAAATAAGAAGAAACAAAGTTTATTTTTTGCTTCTCGAAATATCTATCCAATGAATTAACTCACTTGTTCTAATTGTTCAATTAAAGCTTCCATATAATGCTTATGTAGATATGTCATGGCTACACACATTCGACTTACTGTTAAACTTTTTCGAATGAAATCATCATTTGCAACAATACTTTCTAATTCACAAAGCTAAAAACAAACAGTTATCGATCATAATAATATTTCTAAATTAACCCTTTAATCTCGCTGGTCACGAGAGTAACCATGTATAAAAAGATTTGTAGAAAATAAAGGATTTTGAAAAAATGAAAAAAATTCGAAATTTCCGAAAGAGAATACTCTCTACCTATACTCAATAGAGATCTCTTAAAATTTCTGTGTGATATAAATCGACGAAGAAGCTCACTATTAAGTTAGATATGTGTCGAAAGCTTCAGAATTACTCGATGAATGACATATACTAAGGCGAATAACTGATCATAGAGCTATTATTGGGCAATCAGAAACAAAGTTAATATACGTATGTTAAACTTCAATTCATGAGAAGTTAAAATAGTATTTTATTATGAATTTAATGTCTTCAGAGGATATAACAAAGTATATATTTACTTAAGAAGAAGTGTCAAAAACATGTATTATTTTGACAATAGTTTTTATCCAGGCTTAATATGCTATTAAATTATCTTTTTCTTATCGCGCGAAGACTAATACATTTCTTTTATTAAAGGTATTTTATCAGTGACTCTTCGGGAACAGTTACGGATGATTAAGAGTTTATGAATAACATACATATGGAAAAATGCGAATGATAGCATCTTTTATTGGTTGTAAACATTTACTAAATAAATGCGTATGAAGTTGTATCACTATAAAAAAAAATTAATATTATTTTTCATATTACAATCATCTACTAACCAGTTTCAATAAAATTTAAAGCTTTACGAGCTTTCGGATCGATTTCAACAACTTGACCGGATACATTAGCTACAAAAGAATGTGTTCTAGCATCATAGTAACTGTAAAAAAAGACTTCTACCTAATGGTGTTTTTTCATAAATTTCAATTGCTTGTTGTAATCGTTCACGTATCATATCAATAAATGGATTAGCTTTTGGATGACGTGTTGCTTGACCATTGGGTAACGTCACATCAAAAGTCAACGACAATGATAAAATGCTAGAAAGAAATATATATATATATTAAGAAAGTTTCTTTATATTTTATTTTCTTACATAGCAATTCGTTCTCGAATAGCTTTATATGGATGATCAAGTAATTCTCTGGCTTGTTCATTAATAAAACACCAAATACTTGGTACACGCCATTCAAAATTAGTTATTGTTTGAAGAAGATACCAACGTGATGTTTCAAGAAACGTATTTCCTGATGCATGTGTATTTGTTAATGAACGAAGATATTCAATAGGACGATACATTCGACGTGGATCTTCATCTTCCTATTTAAATAAAGTTTTATTGACGACAAGAAAAACAAAACAAAATTCTTTCTACGAACTAATCCTAATTTAAAACATGAACCCCAATAAGAAAGTGTTTCTGGACCAAGATTTAAACAAACTTCATTAAGAAATGGTGTTAATTTTTTCCATAAATCATCAAGCTAAAAAGATTATTAATAGTTTTTTTCAATCAAAATATAAGAACAACAAGAAATTATCATAACAAACCATTTCTATTGTCCAATATTTTGATCCACGTATCATTGCTGCTACAATTTCAGCTGCAACCCTATGACTACCTTCTTGTTTTTCTTTAGTTTTTTCATGTATAAGTATGTATAATCTTTCAATAAAATTATCAACCAATGCTGAACCATAATTACGAAAAAGTCCCTAAAAAACAAAATTCTTTTCTTATTAAAAATCAAAAGATGACTATAAAAAATTTTGACTGCAGAATGAGATATATAAATAGACTTGTAGATAAAGACTTTCTCTACATAATGCTACTTGCAGTATCCAGTTTTACTGTGTAGTCATTGATGTCTCAACACGTAGCGCTAGCTTCATAATATTTTATGGTAGCCGAGGAGAATCTGGCGCCACCTATCCACATGTCAAATACAATTGAATTTATAATACATAAACTCTAGAAACGTTTTCTGCTAAGGAGCCTAAAAAGATTATTCGCATGGATAAAAGATCAGAACCATCTTTTGGTTTTGTATCGAATTCTCAAGAAGGTTTCGAGTTTGTATCCACGCGCTAAACCTTTTTAAATTCCGTAACGGAATGGTTTTTAGAGGCTATGTACATTTCTTTCTGTAGTGAAACATCATTGCAAAATTTAGAATCGCTTTTATCTTTACTTTAAACATATTAAATCGTCTTGCATCAAAACTGATTTTTCCTTTTTCTTCATCTAAAACCATAAATTGAGTGAATTTATTAATAAAGTTATTATCAATAAATCTTTCATATAAAATTGCAACATCTTCTGGCATATTTTCTTTTGTATATCGTTCACGTTTATTCATTGGATATTTAATTATTTTTGGCCATTTATAATAACCATGAAAACTTTTATCCAAAAAACATGTTTCTTCC